ATCATGAATCAATTGATGTTAGACCACAGTTGGTCGCGCAATTTCGTGGATTGGTTGATGTTAGACACTAACACCATTGGATGCCGGCTCAGTGGTCCAATGGTCAAGTGCTCAGGCGCGAAGCCAGTAGGTCCTGGGTTCGAATCCCGCTCACGGGATCGTGGATGCGCACTGCTGAGGAGTCCCATACTAGGACGAAACGGCCGTCCAGTGCTTCCAGGTTTCCAACGGTGGTCTAACATCAATTGATTCATGATCTCAACCAAAAAAAGCTTAACAATCTCCACAACCCCCATACTGATAACAACAATATTATCAGAATGGGTTTTGTGGAAAGTTTAAGAAATTTCACAAGTTGAAATCATGAGTCAGTTGAAGCTAGACCAGTGCTTCTAGGTTTTCAATGGTGGTCTAGCTTCAAATGACTCATGATTTCAACTTGTGAAACAACAATATTCTCAAAATATGATATATTCACAAAGTATTTTGTTGCTTTCTCAATTTGATTATACAAATAAGCTTAAAAATTTAATCATTTCTAGTTGTCGATGTAATTTGTTAGATGAAGAATTAAATATGTTTGTTATGTAAGAGAGTGGTTTGCAAATCGTTTGGATTGATACCTTTAATGTTTAGATACTACTGTCAAATCTCTAGTTCTTATTTTCATATACATTTCAAACATTTTGTTGTTGTTCAAATAACTATTATCTTGAAGAATGAAGATAATTCAGCATTGAGAAATTTATTTCCGACAATATCATTTATCAAAACTGTATGGTGGTTTAATAAATAGATAAAATCACAAACTTACCAAAGTTAAACTTTCATTGAAAATCTGGAATCTCTGGACAGTTGTTACTTCTTAGTACAAGACTCCTTAGCAATGCATATTCACGAATCTACAAATAGAAATCGAACCTGAACTTTTGGTTTCATACAGAAATGTTTAACTTCTGGATCACTGAGACAGAATTCATTGGTTTACAAAGCTAAATCTAATCAATCTGAGTTATTGATTAATCATCATTGTCTTTCTCGTAGCTGATATGAAAGAATAATTAGTAATAATCAAAATTTTAACCATTCGGTTATATCATCATTATCCACATACAAACATACACACATTCACACAATCCACACCATGTATTAACAAAATTAGTTTTTAAAAAAACACATTTTCCTTTACATAACATTAACACTTGAACATGTTAACAACGTATATACAAAAATTATATCACATGTTCAAGAATATACAGAAATTGTCAATATGTATACAAGGAACAAAGGTAAACTTATAATTTGAAATCAGTAAAATCGATTATTTTGGTCCAAAGTTTTTTTCAAACTGAATAAAAACCCCTTATAAATATGAATACATCAACTGTTCAATAATGAAAGAAAAGATTGGAATTTGAAAAAAAACATTTGATTATCAGTTTAGGGGTTGTGGAGATTGTTAAGTTTTTGATTGACATCATGAACCGATTGATGTTAGACCACCGTTGGAAACCTGGAAGAACTGGACGACCGTTTCGTCCTATCGTGGGACTCCTCCGTATAGGGTAGAAACAAGCGTCTACCTCCGTACAATAGAAGATGGTCGCGCAATTTCGTGGATTGGTTGAGGTTAGACATTAACACCGGTGGATGCTGACTCAGTGGTCCAGTAGGTTAAGCGTTCGCGCGCGAGACTGAAGACCCTGGGTTCGAATCCCGCGGGCGGGACTGTGGATGCGCACTGCTGAGGAGTCCCACAATAGGATGAAACGCCGTTCCAGTGCTTCCAGGTTCTAAATAGTGGTCTAACATCAATCGCTACATGATCTCAGTCAAAAACATTTGATTGTTAATGGTTGCTGATGAATATTAATATTCAAAAAGTGTGTTTGCGAAAAATATATTGAATATTGAATTTACTAAAACTTGACTGAAAAAGGAAAAGAAATAATATTTTCAATCGAAATTAATGGGTTAAATTCAATGTTCAAAACACAACAATGAAATTCTTTCATTTATTCAGTTCTAAGTTGTATAAAAAGGGTCATAAATTAGCATTTATATTTTAATTTTTAATAGTTGATATTATGAGTTAATTGAAGCAAGATCACCATAGAAAACCTGGAAGCATTTGACGGTCATTTCGTCCTATTGTGGGACTTCTCAGTAGTATGCATCCATGAACCCACCTCTTGAGACTCAAACCCAAGACTTATCAGTCTCGCGCGCAAACGCTTAACCTATAGACTACTTCAACCAATCCACAAAATTGAGCGATATTTTCACTATTGTCTTCAGTGAGTTACTATTTCACAGTAAACTAGGTTGAACTCCACTGGTCACTGCTTTTTCTTAAAATTGTAAAGAAATATATAAGTATATCAAGGGTCCACGAAATAATTCTAAATCTTCAGGATCAATTACTTTATAACGACGAAAATATTTTTTTTTTAATTAATAATTTTAGTGTAAAAAATTTGTAGAAATTATAGTTTAGTTTTTACTTGTGAAAAATGCTATAACCTCCATAAATCCTTTTTATTAATAATAATGATGTGTTGACTAGTGACATGCTTCAAGATGAAACATCTAGAGTTCTAGTGATCGATGGAGTTCAGTCTATGTCGGATATGAAACAGTTATCCACCGCCAGCAATCAATGAAGGGTTGTAAAAAACCATGAATTGACTAGATTTAGATATTAACACTTCTGAATTCTGGGTCAGCGGTCTAAAGATAGTGCGTTTGCGCGAGAGACTAAAGATTTTAGATTAGATTTCTGTGTGCGAAGTCGAGGATACACACTGATGAATAGTCTCATATTTGGACAAAACGGTCGTTCAATGATATCAGGTTTCTAAAAGTAGTCTATCTGACATCAGTTTATGATTTAGACAGTGAAAGTTTATATTTTTTAGACCAAATGTTTCTTTACTGTATGGTTAACAGTTGCTTTTATTTTGAAAACTCGCTCGTATATACTTGAACACAAGTGTTTTGTCTTATTCAAAATCATTTAGATAGATTTACCTATATCTCAATGTTGATATTCTCATTCATACTTGAAATTATTCATTTTCGCATCAAATTTCAACTGTTCTCACGCTGAATTATTGGGCCAGGTAAATTCAGTTAATGAGTTTCATATAGAGAAATACTCTCCTCTTGAATGACATTGTTATCCACTATCCAATTTACTATTAAATGACAATCTTTAGACAGATCACTCAGGTTTCATTCATGCTGTTCTGTGGATTACAAAATACAATACAAATGACAATTACTTCTCATTGTTACTCATACCTACATAGTTATACTGAACAGCAGAAGTTTATTACTTTTCTTATACATAGCAACATTTTTAGTACGACATATTTGAAATATATACGAAATAACAACAATTATTAATCATCATACATAACTAAATAGTTTATGCCATAAAACTGTGTACAGTTAAGAAGAGATTTTACACAATGATAGTGTACTATCTGCAAACAACCGAGAAAATCGAACACAAACAAATACCTTCGATACAAACAGATTATACCTTCAATTAAAAAGTAATAATGTTTAAATTTCAACAAAAATTTGAATCTTATAAAAACAAGAAAATTTAATGCAATCAAGTGTATAGTATTTCAGCATGGGGATTTGTGGAGATTGTAGTAGATTCACAGTCAAATTAGGTTAAGCTTTCGCGCGCGACACCAAAGGTTGTAGGTCAGAGTTTCATGTGTGGGATTGAGGATTCACACTGCTGTAGGGTCCCACACTAAGACGAAACAGCTGTCCAGTGCTTCCAACTTAGATTGACTCATGAATTCAACTGTGAAAGTAGCATTTTTAAAAAATATATTGAAATCGGAAATTATAAATATTTGTTTGTAAACGTTAACATTACTAAAGAATATCCCATGGATGATAAACAACCAATTGTTGCAAAGATATCTGTCTTCGTTCGCCTTCCATTCAATGGAGGTAAGATTACAGGAAGAATCGATGGCTGAATCAAGCCAACACTGAAATGAATCATCCCCGATGCTCAGCTGGTTTCACCATACAACACCAAACATTTATTTTACCATTCAAAAGTAGATTAATATTCTTCCAATGTTACATCCATTTGTATTTGTGAAGTCATATGTATCTGCGACAGTAAGCACATCGTAAACATAGAAAGAAGCGTCTCTACAAGGTTTTCTGAACAGAGTCCTAAGAACCCACGGCTGAAAGGGAATGAATTCATTACAACTGAAATTGCTAGACACCTTTTGGATAGCGGATATAAGGTAAGTGTGAGTAATGCATTTAAAATAATTAACAGGAAAAGGCCTTATTCCGTTTGTCAGAGGCAATCGCTATCAAATGTTTCCGACCTAACCTATGTATACAGAAATAAAGTACGATTAGCCTTTCCCTGTCATTGTGACTGGAGATTCACCCTTTATTAATTTCATATTTTAATCTCTGATATTCATCTCTTACATAATCTGATTGACGTTCACACATTTATGAGTTGAATTCACAAGACGATCCAAACTAGATCACCATTGAAAACCTGATAGCACTGGACAACCATTTCGTCCTAGTACGGAACTCCTCAACAATGCGTATTCCCAGTCTCCCATGCGAGACTCAAATCCAGAAAATTCGATTTCGCGAGCGAATTCTTAACCTCTAGACCACTAATTGTAATTTTGGGTTGCATGCAGTAGATGTAAACCTTGCTGTTCTCACTGTGTTTAAATATATTAGAATTTCACAAGAATAAGAAAAAAAATTGTTTGGTAAAAAACAATATACTGCTTATTCTCCCTTACAATGAACTAATCTTTACCCATCCATATGAATTAAAATGAATATTGAATAAGTTGATGTTAGTTTAATTAGTTTAAGCGTTAAGCAACAAAAATGTATACTCAGATACAGAAAAACTGTGTGTGTGTGAGAGAGAGAGAGAGAGAGAAAGAGAAAGAGAAAATCTGTATCCAATTGGAAATATGATTGGTTACTTACATCCTACTTACAGTATCGACTATCAAATCGATCAAACAACTGAACAATCAATCATTAATGATCCAAAAGTCAGAAGTTTGTTCAATATTTAATCCTAATGAAAATTCAATCATCTTGAATGGTATTTATTATAGTTATTATGAAAGGTTTATTTTTTCTTATTGTTTGTAATGAATTGGATCAGTATTTGTTAGTATATATATGTATATACCAGAAGAGTGAATTTTTCAATAAAAGCTATTTGTTACAAATTCAGAACTTCTTAGCTTTATGTACTTACATCACAGTGTTTCTACACTTTTACTGAAACTGAAATTACATTTCTATCTAGTATGATTTCCGCTAATCTGTCATAATAATCATTAGGTCGTTCAACACAGATTCTCTATAGAATGGTTTAATTTGTAAGTTGTATTCGTTATCTTAGTGATTGACTTCAAAAAATATTCCCGGAGTTATATTGAGACGTCATAATTAATGGAGCTTAGACATGCTGAATGTAAAATAGTTGGCATTAGTGATATTTGTTGATAATCTTGTTATCTCAGATTGATTGAATTTATAATCTTGTCCATAGAAATAGACTAGCTGCTTCTTTTGTACGAATAGAATCCAAAGGTATGATCTATATTTAAGAATATTCGTAGATTATCAACTTCAGTTAAATTTTTACACAAATATGGATAGTGGCTAGTATTGGAAACAAGGCTGCACCTTTCGTTCCATTTAGGACTCGTCAGTTAGATTTACCAGCCATATCCCACAGTAACATGCATAAGTAAGTAAGTAAGTAAGTAAGTAAGTAAGTAAGTAAGTAAGTAAGTAAGTAAGTAAGTAAGTAAGTAAGTAAGTAAGTAAGTAAGTAAGTAAGTAAGTAAGTAAGTAAGTAAGTAAGTAAGTAAGTAAGTAAGTAAGTAAGTAAGTAAGTAAGTAAGTAAGTAAGTAAGTAAGTAAGTAAGTAAGTAAGTAAGTAAGTAAGTAAGTAAGTAAGTAAGTAAGTAAGTAAGTAAGTAAGTAAGTAAGTAAGTAAGTAAGTAAGTAAGTAAGTAAGTAAGTAAGTAAGTAAGTAAGTAAGTAAGTAAGTAAGTAAGTAAGTAAGTAAGTAAGTAAGTAAGTAAGTAAGTAAGTAAGTAAGTAAGTAAGTAAGTAAGTAAGTAAGTAAGTAAGTAAGTAAGTAAGTAAGTAAGTAAGTAAGTAAGTAAGTAAGTAAGTAAGTAAGTAAGTAAGTAAGTAAGTAAGTAAGTAAGTAAGTAAGTAAGTAAGTAAGTAGGTAAGTAAGTAAGTAAGTAAGTAAGTAAGTAAGTAAGTAAGTAAGTAAGTAAGTAAGTAAGTAAGTAAGTAAGTAAGTAAGTAAGTAAGTAAGTAAGTAAGTAAGTAAGTAAGTAAGTAAGTAAGTAAGTAAGTAAGTAAGTAAGTAAGTAAGTAAGTAAGTAAGTAAGTAAGTAAGTAAGTAAGTAAGTAAGTAAGTAAGTAAGTAAGTAAGTAAGTAAGTAAGTAAGTAAGTAAGTAAGTAAGTAAGTAAGTAAGTAAGTAAGTAAGTAAGTAAGTAAGTAAGTAAGTAAGTAAGTAAGTAAGTAAGTAAGTAAGTAAGTAAGTAAGTAAGTAAGTAAGTAAGTAAGTAAGTAAGTAAGTAAGTAAGTAAGTAAGTAAGTAAGTAAGTAAGTAAGTAAGTAAGTAAGTAAGTAAGTAAGTAAGTAAGTAAGTAAGTAAGTAAGTAAGTAAGTAAGTAAGTAAGTAAGTAAGTAAGTAAGTAAGTAAGTAAGTAAGTAAGTAAGTAAGTAAGTAAGTAAGTAAGTAAGTAAGTAAGTAAGTAAGTAAGTAAGTAAGTAAGTAAGTAAGTAAGTAAGTAAGTAAGTAAGTAAGTAAGTAAGTAAGTAAGTAAGTAAGTAAGTAAGTAAGTAAGTAAGTAAGTAAGTAAGTAAGTAAGTAAGTAAGTAAGTAAGTAAGTAAGTAAGTAAGTAAGTAAGTAAGTAAGTAAGTAAGTAAGTAAGTAAGTAAGTAAGTAAGTAAGTAAGTAAGTAAGTAAGTAAGTAAGTAAGTAAGTAAGTAAGTAAGTAAGTAAGTAAGTAAGTAAGTAAGTAAGTAAGTAAGTAAGTAAGTAAGTAAGTAAGTAAGTAAGTAAGTAAGTAAGTAAGTAAGTAAGTAAGTAAGTAAGTAAGTAAGTAAGTAAGTAAGTAAGTAAGTAAGTAAGTAAGTAAGTAAGTAAGTAAGTAAGTAAGTAAGTAAGTAAGTAAGTAAGTAAGTAAGTAAGTAAGTAAGTAAGTAAGTAAGTAAGTAAGTAAGTAAGTAAGTAAGTAAGTAAGTAAGTAAGTAAGTAAGTAAGTAAGTAAGTAAGTAAGTAAGTAAGTAAGTAAGTAAGTAAGTAAGTAAGTAAGTAAGTAAGTAAGTAAGTAAGTAAGTAAGTAAGTAAGTAAGTAAGTAAGTAAGTAAGTAAGTAAGTAAGTAAGTAAGTAAGTAAGTAAGTAAGTAAGTAAGTAAGTAAGTAAGTAAGTAAGTAAGTAAGTAAGTAAGTAAGTAAGTAAGTAAGTAAGTAAGTAAGTAAGTAAGTAAGTAAGTAAGTAAGTAAGTAAGTAAGTAAGTAAGTAAGTAAGTAAGTAAGTAAGTAAGTAAGTAAGTAAGTAAGTAAGTAAGTAAGTAAGTAAGTAAGTAAGTAAGTAAGTAAGTAAGTAAGTAAGTAAGTAAGTAAGTAAGTAAGTAAGTAAGTAAGTAAGTAAGTAAGTAAGTAAGTAAGTAAGTAAGTAAGTAAGTAAGTAAGTAAGTAAGTAAGTAAGTAAGTAAGTAAGTAAGTAAGTAAGTAAGTAAGTAAGTAAAGTAAGTAAGTAAGTAAGTAAGTAAGTAAGTAAGTAAGTAAGTAATCCCACAGTTAATATTCAAACCTAGTACCGTTTGCATAAAATGCCATCACGCTGTCCACTTAGCTACTCAATTCAGATCGCCACTGGCTTGTGCAGTAGGATGAAATTTGATTCACTTCTGTATTTAATTATTTAAATCTTCCCATAGACGCTTAGGACTGTAATTGACCAATCTCCTATATGGATATGTACATCCTCCTCTGATTCCCTCGAGATTGCCATTAAGTTACAAGTATTTTAGACAGAGATGGTTAAATTCTTGTTGATCGCACTGATGAATAATGTACTAGTACAATAAATAACAGTATGGTAAAAATTGACGCCCCACGACATAATTGTATCCATGATTAATTCGATAAGAAACAAATGAGTCAGGCTTGTCAACCTACAACTATGACCTGCAAGTTACATTGTCGTTCTTTAATAGTACATTTCAGAATTACTATACATATGTAAAAGATACGATAAATATAAAATGAAATGGCATGTTTTACTGAATCATAGCTACAAAGCCTGAAGTTTTTGGGTATAATCATTGGAAAGAGTGTGGATCTCCAGTGCTGAGAATTTCCATACTTGGACGAAACAAATACTTAATGTTTTCTAGTTTCTCTGTGGTTATCTTACTGAAATCTACCCATAATGTAAAACTAGCACTTGAACACACACTCTCTCCTCACACACACACACACACACTGTAATAAACATCATATTTACGTAATCAGCTATCATCATATGAACATCACACAAATACATATATACACAATTGTTTCTTAAAATAATCAATAAATGGAAATTCAATTTATTCAACAACAAAAACCTAAAATGTTCAATCATTTATGCAATGAAATCCATCATATTATCACTATTATTATTATAATCCATATTAATTAATCTGTACATAATTAATCCAGTCATATGGTTTATCATGTTTAATGATGTGATCACATTCATGATGTGTACAATTTGTATTAGATCTTGAAATAAGATAAAATCATCATATCACTTCATCTTATTATGTGATTTTTTGTTGTTGTTTATCCTTTATTCTTTTCTTGACTCTTCTCTCATGTTTTTCTTTAAAACTCTTCTCTGCGTAAATAAACAACATATGTGCATAAATTTATTCATTTGTATATGCGTGTAAATGTGTGAGCTAGGAATTCTATTAATGATTACGTTGAAAGTGGAGTATAATGGTAATAAGAATATTTATTTTGGAGGGTGAAGGTTTATCAAATGAAAACAATATACATGTAGGAGTTGATTCACATAGATTTGAAGTATATAAGTTATCATGTTCATGATATACTTGTCAAATGAATTTCTTATCAGTATGGGGTTGTCGAGATTGTTGAGTTTTCGATCTAGGTCATGAGTCGACCAATGTTAGACCACTATCGAAAACCTGAAAAACGTTACTTCCGAGTGTGGGACTCATCAGCAACGTTCATCCACAATCCCACACACAGGATTCAAACTCAGGACCTTCAGCGCCACACGCGAATGCTTAACGTCTAGACCATTGAGCCCGAATCCAACGATGTCAATGTCTAACTCCAACCGATGCATGAAACGAACATTCAGTGCCTCCACGTTTTCAATGGTGATCTAACACTGATCGACTCATGATTTCAAAAAAGTGAATTTTCATCGATGCGTTTGCACTAATTAATAGATCTGACTACATTTACTGAGTATCATTTACACATTAAATCAAGTTCCTATTGTTTGACATTACGAACTGACTTCAGTGAAAGAACTGTTGAAAATTAGAATTCTCTGAACATCTGTTTCTACATTTACAGCCCCCTATATTGACAGTAGAACAGGACTCAAAGAATATGTACTACAGATACGTTAGAAACTGCTGACCGATTCGCTAATATCAAAGGGTTACTCGTTAATATTTATAAATAGCTATAAAAGTCAGTCATCACCTAAATCTCTCTTTAACTCGGCTATAAAGAAAAGTGTTTATATTTTTCTACCATTTAGAGATGATGATTTTAAGACAGAGACTAAAAGCAGACGTCAAGAAAACATATTATGCTGCTAAACCGGTTGTAATTGGAAAGACAAACCCCATGATTTCACATTGACCTAGACATTATACGAACTATTCTGCCACATCCAATTGCATTTACAAATTCTCATGTTTGTGTGAACACATACACAGAACTCAGTAACCAAACCATGCAATAAATGATTAAGAAACATGTGCCTTGAATTGTCACTGAATTAACTTTTATTAATTTTCATATAAAATACATTGATAATTCATATATGCGACCAGATTGTTGGAAATGTATGGTACAAATGCATTACATTTTATAAATCGATTTCGTATTGTCATTGTTTTAGCAAAATTATATAATCATGTACTTACAACAATGTAGGGACTCAGATAAGTATCGCTAATAATATTTAATGATTATATAATATCAAGAAGTGAAAGTAGTTGAAAATGTAAACCAGTGGTCTGATGGCCAAGAACATTCTGGGAGGCCTGAAAGCCATGCGTTCGGTAACTGGTGGAGAATTTCATGGTGAAATGAAAAATATGTCTAATGTGTTTTCGTTTTTAATGATTATCTGTCATGTAAGACTACAAATTCAATCGCATTACATTGATAGACTTTCACTGCATAACTTATAAATGTTACCCAAGATAGAACTTCTTAAACACAGAAATGGTATTCTTTGTAGTTAAAAAATAATATGAAATAAAGAAACATCTAAACGTTTGTTTTATCATTTGTTAGAGTTCTTTAGTCGCCATTCAATGCTCCTAAAGTTTCAAAGGACTTCAAATTGATGGTCAGTTTATTAATTTAGCTACATAAATATTATTACATGAAGGCATCAAATATACATGGGCTACACTTCATCATTCAATTTGTGGGAGGGCTGGGATACTACCCGTGAGCCCTGATTGAATCAGGTGGTTTTCTTAAGAGGCCACTCATAGGGGTTAATAAACCACTTAACTACTTTGTTCTTTTTCCCTATATGTAACGGATAGTATATGGATAAAACTGACAATCCCAATCTTTGTGTTCTTTAAAAGTTTTTATTACTGATGTCTTTTTCTGTGACTGAACAACAATTAATAAACGATCTCGTCAGTTCTTTATACCTTGTGTTTACCTCCATTTACCCTCTTCCTACCACTTCTTTACTATCTGCGTATTAAAGCTGATCAAACATAGATTTCCTAGTTCTTAATTTATCATTAATATTATTTTTTTTATTGTTATGTCTATTATTGTAACACGTTCGTTATATCAATTTTGAATTTATATCCCATGAGATAAACTATTGTGCTCATGTTACCGCGCTATTCATAATATTCTTATCATTACTACTACTACTACTACTACTACTACTACTACTACTACTACTACTACTACTACTACTACTACTACTACTACTACTACTACTACTACTACTACTACTACTACTACTACTACTACTACTACTACTACTACTACTACTACTACTACTACTACTACTACTACTACTACTACTACTACTACTACTACTACTACTACTACTACTACTACTACTACTACTACTACTACTACTACTACTACTACTACTACTACTACTACTACTACTACTACTACTACTACTACTACTACTACTACTACTACTACTACTACTACTACTACTACTACTACTACTACTACTACTACTACTACTACTACTACTACTACTACTACTACTACTACTACTACTACTACTACTACTACTACTACTACTACTACTACTACTACTACTACTACTACTACTACTACTACTACTACTACTACTACTACTACTACTACTACTACTACTACTACTACTACTACTACTACTACTACTACTACTACTACTACTACTACTACTACTACTACTACTACTACTACTACTACTACTACTACTACTACTACTACTACTACTACTACTACTACTACTACTACTACTACTACTACTACTACTACTACTACTACTACTACTACTACTACTACTACTACTACTACTACTACTACTACTACTACTACTACTACTACTACTACTACTACTACTACTACTACTACTACTACTACTACTACTACTACTACTACTACTACTACTACTACTACTACTACTACTACTACTACTACTACTACTACTACTACTACTACTACTACTACTACTACTACTACTACTACTACTACTACTACTACTACTACTACTACTACTACTACTACTACTACTACTACTACTACTACTACTACTACTACTACTACTACTACTACTACTACTACTACTACTACTACTACTACTACTACTACTACTACTACTACTACTACTACTACTACTACTACTACTACTACTACTACTACTACTACTACTACTACTACTACTACTACTACTACTACTACTACTACTACTACTACTACTACTACTACTACTACTACTACTACTACTACTACTACTACTACTACTACTACTACTACTACTACTACTACTACTACTACTACTACTACTACTACTACTACTACTACTACTACTACTACTACTACTACTACTACTACTACTACTACTACTACTACTACTACTACTACTACTACTACTACTACTACTACTACTACTACTACTACTACTACTACTACTACTACTACTACTACTACTACTACTACTACTACTACTACTACTACTACTACTACTACTACTACTACTACTACTACTACTACTACTACTACTACTACTACTACTACTACTACTACTACTACTACTACTACTACTACTACTACTACTACTACTACTACTACTACTACTACTACTACTACTACTACTACTACTACTACTACTACTACTACTACTACTACTACTACTACTACTACTACTACTACTACTACTACTACTACTACTACTACTACTACTACTACTACTACTACTACTACTACTACTACTACTACTACTACTACTACTACTACTACTACTACTACTACTACTACTACTACTACTACTACTACTACTACTACTACTACTACTACTACTACTACTACTACTACTACTACTACTACTACTACTACTACTACTACTACTACTACTACTACTACTACTACTACTACTACTACTACTACTACTACTACTACTACTACTACTACTACTACTACTACTACTACTACTACTACTACTACTACTACTACTACTACTACTACTACTACTACTACTACTACTACTACTACTACTACTACTACTACTACTACTACTACTACTACTACTACTACTACTACTACTACTACTACTACTACTACTACTACTACTACTACTACTACTACTACTACTACTACTACTACTACTACTACTACTACTACTACTACTACTACTACTACTACTACTACTACTACTACTACTACTACTACTACTACTACTACTACTACTACTACTACTACTACTACTACTACTACTACTACTACTACTACTACTACTACTACTACTACTACTACTACTACTACTACTACTACTACTACTACTACTACTACTACTACTACTACTACTACTACTACTACTACTACTACTACTACTACTACTACTACTACTACTACTACTACTACTACTACTACTACTACTACTACTACTACTACTACTACTACTACTACTACTACTACTACTACTACTACTACTACTACTACTACTACTACTACTACTACTACTACTACTACTACTACTACTACTACTACTACTACTACTACTACTACTACTACTACTACTACTACTACTACTACTACTACTACTACTACTACTACTACTACTACTACTACTACTACTACTACTACTACTACTACTACTACTACTACTACTACTACTACTACTACTACTACTACTACTACTACTACTACTACTACTACTACTACTACTACTACTACTACTACTACTACTACTACTACTACTACTACTACTACTACTACTACTACTACTACTACCAGGAATACATCTATTACTCTGTTATCAGTTCAAATTCATTACAAAAACTGACGTTAGACGATTGCTGAAATATAGGAAGTGCTGAGATCGAAACCAGGACGTTCATGTCCCACGGCGAATATTTAATACTCCAACAACTAGATTAATATTTAATGGTTGATATTTTTAATTTCAGTCAATTCGCAACACTGTGCAATCATCACGTCTTACATCTGGTAAGGTGTGTGTAATACACGATAAAATGTAATTCTACTAATCAGATTTTCTTGCTTAAACACCGTGAATTATAAGTCGAAATTAATCACTAGTGAGCACATGATTTTCCATATCATGAAAAAACGTACTAATCTACAAAATATGAACAAAAGCATGTCATATGCAACCGATAAAAAAATCGTTGACCTTTCAAACAATTAGAACTTGATTGTTAGGTTTACTTGTTAGCATTATATCAGTCTTCAAAAATGACAGCGAAAGACAAACCATGATTCTATGTGAAAATATCTGGATATGAGAAAATTCAATAAGTCTAATGTCAAGACTGTTCTGTACATACAATCAAATGTGAATGTTTGATGATCAGCCAATGAGCACCATTTATTTCATTCTAGAAAATACTGATTGAATTGTTGTTTAATCGAATGTTTTAATATGATTTATGACAACTACTGAGGATCTAATCGAAAACAATATTGTTCGCTTATATATGTTGTTCTAAATATACTATTATATCATCAGTACCAACTGAAAAAATTATTGAAAACCTTTAACTTCACATGAATTTCAGGTCTCACAGTGAACATTCGTTATTTCAAGGGGCTTATTTGTTATAAAATGGCTAAAGTTTTAATAAAGAAAATTTTCATGACATACAACGTTGATATCCTTTGTTCATATATGACATTTGATCATATTTTAAAGAGTATTGATTTAACTTAATACATTGTTTACATTTGTTGAGTATATGAAACAGTTCAATCTAATATGACGGTAAATTATACTCATCCATTAAGTCGTTGATCAATGAATGCCAACTGTGTTATTCAGCTTAGTTTTTTTTCAAAATCCAATCACTGTAAATAAAACACACGAACCATTTTGTTTAGGTATAGTTTGGGATATATTTATTGATATGCAATAAATCCTCACTTGTTATCTTCGCCCCTTTCCTAGTGTTATATCTGTTTTTTCTATGTTATATCCGCAGATATTTAACCGACTTGGGTCTAGCACCTAAACCTTGAATTCGACAACGTGGAATGAGAACACAATGACTTGTAATAAGGATTTATTTGACCTCCAAAATATGAACACATCACCTTTTTATATGGTTTATTTACAGTTAGATTAATAGTCAGATTTGTATAAACTGAATTGAGTAGTACATAACATCAATTACTTAATATGTAAATACATATTTATCATATCATACAATTGGGAATCTATAATTAACAGATATAACGAATTGACTATGTTATGTATTTACCCCCCTTTTTTAATGTGATATTTTACAAACAATTGGAATGCGCACTGCTGAAGAGTTTCACAATAAGACGAAACGGCCATCCAGTGCTTCCAGGTTTTCCATGGTGGCCTAACTTCAACTGACTCATGATCTTAACCATTGAAATCACTATAATATCTACAAAACCCATCTGATATTAATTGTAAATTATCAATTTCATATCCCATTCTGACTCTTATCACAATTAATTTACTTTTTTTTGTTATTTTATCTTGTATCGTGCAAATTCTCATTGTGTTTTTCCTTTTATATCAGGAACCAGTTTTCTGTAGATTATATTAATTGATATTATTCATAATTACACATGTGATGTCTATGTCAATTTGAACTTTTCAACTATCTCTTCACCTCAATGTTTTGTTTTCTAATTTTAATACAAATATCTCCTATCAACTAAACATTGTGTTATTTGTAGTCATGACCATAGATAAATAGAAGTTAATATTTCTTAGTTCATATATATTTATCATGTCTATCATAGACACTTTCAATTAACTTCGTCAATTATAATTATTGTATCTTTTTTTTTAGCTGTTTATTATCTTCTGTAATTATTTACTGTAAATAAATCTTTATCAACATCATCATCATCATCATCATCATCATCATCATCGTTAACAAAATCAATCAATAAAACATGTCTTGCACATCATCTCCCATTTTTCTGACTTAACCCATTTATTTTTCTTCTATTAATCAGTATGAATAATTGATTAAACTGTGAGAGAGAGAGAGAAGTGGGGGTGGGGAAGGAGTAACAGTGAAAATTGTTCTTTTCTTACTTTTAAAGTAAACAATTCTTTATCGTACAACTACCACCACCACCATCCGATTGCATATAAATATTAAACAGATTTGTCTAGAATTAGATAATAAACAAACTAAACCACTTGTACATACATCTAAAACGTTCTCCATCTTCTTAATTGACATGAAACATTAAAAAACTACATCCAAGTACTGTTGTTCATTGTTTATCTTTAATGTATTTGTGGAAGCAACTTTTTTTTAGGATTCTTTACAGGGAAAGTGCGAGTGTGAGAAATAATTGTATTACATATATAACTGTGATAATAACATACATGCATACATAGCGACCAAAATGTCATATCATCAGCAACTTCTGAACTATTAAAAACTATAGAAAGTTATTTTAGAACTTGTGAATCAGCGTGGAAAGAAACGAGTTTTTTTTTAAGAAAAAGAAGGATGCTTCTTTTTTCATTAACATGTTACATTGTAGTGCATCAATCAAATTGTTACCTGTTATGTGAAATGATTATCAGCATGAAGATGACATTGGTCAAAACTATCCATTTTAAGTTATTCACTTGTTAATTCATGTTCAATGATATATAACTCAGTAACCAAGTTAACTGATTTAGATACAAAGCTTGGGGTTAAATGTTTTGCTTAAAGTTTGGAAATGTCAGTCAAATTTTAAAATCTGAATTCATGAAAAAGCAGAAATGATGACGGTGGTTCGAGTCCTCAAACGAATTATTAAAAATCAACTGTTTCGACTTTGAGATCATATTTTTGACAGACTAACAGTAACATAAAGTGGATCAGGCATGAATATTTGAGTTATTTAGACAATAAGCACTGATCTTACAAAGTAGACCACTTGCTGTCATTCTGATATATAATCCATGTCAGATTAAAATCCATATTATTTGAGTAAAACATACAAGTGAATAGTTAGTAGACTGTGGTCATTATTAGCGAATAACTTTTTGAAATGTCCTAAGACAATTGAGAGAGTCTCCTTACTGCTCCACAGTGATCGTAAACAACCCTACGTTTATAGCCTTTTTCACTGAAGTTCCATTCAGTTTCTTTTTACTTGATTGGATGTCTTTACAAATTCTGACAGAGGACTGATGCTTATTAATTGAACCTAACTGGTGGAAGTTTGGCGATCCCTAACTTTCAAACGCTTTAGAATTTTGAGTAAAATAATTATCAGTATGGGGTTGCAGAGATTGATTGAAGTTAGAAAGTTCGCATTCGAGACTGGGGATTCTGGGTTCGAGTTTCGCGTGCAAAAAGTGGAGGTTGTGCACTGTTGAGTCATACACTAGGATGAAATGACTATCCAATGCTTCTAGGTTTTCAACTGTCATCTAACTTAGACAAGTTCATAATTTCAATAAATAAGCATGTTTAAACCTGCATTAATTAGTGTTTACAATGAATCGCCATTATTTTAACGTCGCTGCACTACTTTGTTCAGTAGAAATTCATCCCTCGACAAAACTATCTATCTTGAATCAGACGGCATAATACTATCATAGAGCTTATATAAATTCTATGGATGAACATTAACAACAATTTCATTTCGTTTGGTTTTTTTTCTCAGATATTATTATGGTGACATGAATTACTTTGTTAAATTAATGGATACATCAAAACATCATTACTTGTCAGCTTCTTGATGAATATACGTTTCAAAACTTGGTTATTGTCATTAAGTAGAAATTTTAACTTTAGACAAGATACAATTGACAATTACACTTACCATTTTAGTAATATAAATGAGAAATAGTGATTTTCAACATTTGATCTTGTTTGCATTTTCTGACTTTTCCCGAATGTTGTTCCATCAAGATTCTTGATACCTGTGTATTACCTTACAGGAATGAGGTGTGCAGTTCAGGTTGTAAAGTAAAAGCTTCTATGATGTTTGCTTCTCCTACAAACAAATGTAAGATTGCTCTCATGAATAACGGTATATAGCGGTTCGGATTTAGCCAGAAGGCAATTTGTGTACTAAAGGAACATACAGAGCAACATGAATGAAGAGTACTATCGAAATAGAAGAAGAAAACCAAAAATGAACAGATGAACCAGCAAACGCACACAATGAACTTACATTTATTAAAGAAAAATTAGGACTGTTTTGAAATTGAAACTAAAAGCTGAAATCAAACATCCACAATATTTATAATTGAATTGTCTTTCTAAGGTTATATTTTAAACAAAATGACGGTTAATACAGTTCTATTGTTGTGATTAAGTTTTATTTTTCAATTTATTACACTTCAAGAAACCGAATTATAAAAACAAACGTAAAATGCTAATAACAAAATGAGTATTCTGATATGATGGTGGGCAAAAATTTAAATAGAATAATCAGGTCTCCTTTTCACTTGTTACTGAATAGTTAAAATAAATTGTATCCGATCTGCATTCCATTGTAAATAAATTCTAATGATATTTAGTTTCTAATGAAGTGTACATTGTACGAAAGAATGTTATGTTGCTGTATAAAACGACTTTATTTACACTGGCCAGTTCTTCTGTCATTTGACTGGCTGCCAAAAGGAGAAGGAATGAGAGCAGGGTTTTAAATTGCACCCAGTAAAAAGAGCCGGGAAAAATCAGTTGAAATTCGCGCCAAAAGCTGAAGGGTCTTCTCATAGAAGAGTTGTGACATATTAAGGTGCAAGTCAAAAGCTTCTGGAAGACCTGAGGACAACTCCACCTCTGACAACCAGAGCAATAATAAACACAGGAATGTGGA